ACGGCGTCATACCCATATACCCATGCATGAAGCCATTCCGTTCAGTACCGAACCGGTGCAGGAGGCGCCGAAGGCCTGACAAGGATCAATCGCACGAAGCTGAGTGCATTGACATGCAGTGACATTGTGATATATAGTGATGAGCAACAGCATGAATGCAGTGAAGTATCCCGTGTGACAGATGAGTCGAGCAGAGCATGATGGAACACATGGCCTTCTGCTATATCATGCCTTGCAAAACTGTGCATGGCAGTTGATGTGCGAGATGCTCCAGCAGCAGAGGCCGCCACGCTAACCCATACAGAGCAACGGAGTCATGTAATGTCATGTATACAGGTTGCATCACAGCAAATCCTTATTAAATGCCTGCACCATCCTGCACCGTTTATTCACTAGAAGCATGCAAATATTGGGTCTGGAATGGTCTGGAGGCCCCAAACTGCAGTTGCATGGGCCAGGATGCGGTGGACCAAGTGACGGTTGATGTGCGAGATGCTCCAGCAGCAGAGGCCAAGCTAACCCCTACAGGGGTCATGTAATATCATGTAATGTTATGTATACGGGTTGCATCGCAGCAAATCCTGATTAAATGTTTGCACAGTTTATACACGAGAGCCACGCAATTGTTGGGTTTGGAGGCCCCAAGCCGCAATCACATGGACAAGGATGCGGTCGACCAAGTGACGGTTGATGTGCGAGATGCTCCAGCAGCAGAGGCCAAGCTAACCCCTACAGAGAACCGGGGTCATGTAATGTTATGTATACGGGTATATACGGGTTGCATCACAGCAAATCCTGATTAAATGTTTGCACAATTTATACACGAGAGCCACGCAAATGTCCGGTCTGGAGGCCCCAAACTGCAGTCACATGGACGAGGATGCGGTGGAGCAAGTGACAGTTGATGTGCGAGATGCTCCCGCAGCAGAGGCCAAGCCCCTACAACAGAGCACCGGGGTCATGTAATGTTATGTACACGGGTTGCATCACAGCAAACCCTGATTATAAATGCCTGCGCCGTTTATTCACTAGAACCATGCAAATGTCCGGTCTGGAGGCCCCAAACTGCAGTCACATGGACGAGGATGCGGTGGACCCAGTGATGGTTGATGTGCGAGACGCTGCAGCAGCAGAGGCCAAGCTAAGCCATACAGAGCAACGGAGTCATGTAATGTAACGTATACAGGTTGCATCACAGCAAATCCCGATTAAATGTCTGCACCGTTTATTCATTAGAACCATGCAGATGTTGGGTGTGGAGGCCCCAAACCGCAGTCACATGGACAAGGATGTGGTGTACCCAGTGATGAAAGAGACAGGACGCACGGATGTGAGAAACAACTCTAGCATGTGGCAAGAAAACATAATGAGAACCACTAAGGAGAACTACAGAATAAGATTCAATAACCATGTCGACAGACAGGGCTGAAGTACAGCTACATCCTTCTTGGCTCCCCAGATCTGCCAAGAGGGAGATTGATGGGTTGTCCAGTTGTTGCCCGCATTTCTCCATCATGCATGCACCTGCATCTTGGCCAGTTTCGGGCACTGTCGTCAGGACTGGGGAAAGTTGCCATGAATGGAGATTCAGGCGCTACGGTGGTGATGAACGGGCAAATCAACAGATTTTTATCATTTTTTATTCCGGGGATGTGATTGTATGCGAACTGCCAGGGATGTGTGATTGATCGTGCTTGCATGCGAAGATGATCGAACATAGCCAGTAGTAGTTTCATGTATTTTCATGTTCTTTCAATCTCTTTGACGCTGCGAGAGGGCAGCTACAGCTGCGTCTAACCTTACGTAACGAATATTCCATCCAGGCGGCGCAGAAGCCAGCTCTTTGAAGTCGTTCGGTTGCCGCAGTGACGAAGCGTTGCTCAGATTTCCAATATTTTTGCAATGTTCTTCATGAGCCTGTGGTTGGTGCTATATGAATGTCCCTGCATGTCTCCATCTCTTGTGTCCACATGGAATCTAGCTCACTCCAGCTATCAGGTTGCCTCGCGTGGTATTCTATCCAATGAACCAGAATTCTGATGAGTGGAACCGTGGGTCGCATGGACGTCGTGGATGTTTCTTTCACTGTGCAGTTGCAGCTGCCGATCATTTGGGTGGGCGCTGGTGGGACACCGATGGGTCCTGGTGCAAATCCGTGTTCCATCGAGGAACAGCAGCCGCTGATGTTTGGAACCGAGAGGTGAGCATGCTTGAGGAAGCTGAACTAGGTATACCAAGTGATGGGCATGTCTGTATCAATGAAGCCAAGCATCGGGTTGCCAGCCTGGACTTGGGCAGGTTCAATGAGATGATGCCGGTGGTCCAGCTCCTATCCACTGTGGACCAGTGTGGCCAAGAATTTGTAAGTATGGATGGTGTGGCGAAATTCATAGATTCGCAATGCCAGAACTCACCAGACAGACCTCGTTTGGCTGCGATGATTACATTGGATGGGAAGTGGTCTGTTGCAGTTCGCGGTGCCAACTCGCCACATCTCCTCCATTTTGATCCACATGTCGCAGATAACGCCCATTTGGATCAAAGCCTTGTGGCTGTCCTCAAAGATGGTGCTGACTTGGTGCAGATCATGACACAGCGCGGGGCATATTTTCCCGAGTCTCGCGGTGCAGTGTCTCCTGGCGTGTTCTATGGTGTTCTATGTGTAGCAACATTTTCTGGCCCTTCGGTGGATGATATACTTGCTGCCGGTAACTGCCTCGCATTGCATATCATGTATCGCATGCATATGCTATCATATGCTTACATTGAATTGTTTTATTGTCTCTGTGCTAGGACGGAATGTCATTCCTTGCATATGCAGAGAAATTGTCCCATGTCCTGCTCAGGTATAGCTTCAGGCTACCAGATGATCATTCCCAAGATGCCTCCGGGAGCTGTGCTTGGTGTTCTACATCGGAGGCATATCCCCGGGACCCATCTTCACATGCAGGGCAGGATGACTTGATGATATCACATGGTCCAGAGCCAGAAGTAGACAGTGACGAGGCGTCGACTGATGCCTGTGATGTGCAAGCGCCGGCCTCGTGGTGGTCCAGCTCCAAGAACCGTGGAAAAGTCAAATCTGAGCCACTTTCAACACCAGCTAAGCCTCGCTCCACCATTGAAGTGGTCAAACGTGAGTTGAGCCCTCTCACACCTTCACCTGTCACCTGCAAAAGCCGGCGCACAGCTCCTAACAGCAAAAAATGGCTGTCTGAAAGAGCCAAGGAAGGCAAAGTCGTTGCAGACCAAGCCGGGCTGGATTATAACAAACATTTTCAGGTGGTGCACCGTGGCAGCTTTGAGGCGGGCCATTGGCAAGATTTTTTGGCGAGCTTAGCTGGAGCTCAAGTTAGCCGTTGCGAGCGTTGCGCTCAACTTTGCATTGATTTCAAGTTGTCATGTGCCGCTTATGCTGCTGGCCCATCGGTTATGACTGATGGGGAAATTGTTCTGGTCAGTGACGATGACCAAGACATGGCATTAGAGCCCCGGCAACTCTTTCCATCTTCAGCTCCTCGTCCTCGTGCTGGCAGGCCTTCCAGGGCGGATCAACGTCCAAATCTCACGGAGTGGATCTCCCAGAAGCGACCTGGACAATACATCATCCATTCATTGGACGGTCAAGTTCCAGTGTCTTGCCGACTGTGTGGTGTGACTTTCAATGCTCACAGGACCGGGTCCCCTTGGTACATCGAGAGGCACGAGCAGGAGGATTCCCGGCACAGGCGGGCTGCAGAGGGGCTGCCGCCACAGGAAGAAGATGCACCGCTCCGTGTATGTGAAGGGATTGGCCTCATGGACCCTGGCTCTGGGTTGCAGCACCTGAAGGCTTCAGTCATGATGCATATCCAAAATGGTCATATGGCAACCATCAAGTGCGCTGTTCACAAGGTGCATTTCTTTGTAGACGCACAGGGGCATGTGAGGATGCAATCAAAGAAATGTCAGGAAGACCGTTCCCTTGTTCCAGCTGGGAAGACGGTGTGCAGAACGTGTGAGGCCCACAGCCGGAAGCAAGAGTTGGTTCGATCACTGGCATCTTGGGTGCATAGAGCCGATTCTTGGCTCGTTAATCAGTCTGGTTTTTTTTTCAGGAATCGGTCAGTTCGAAAGATTTCGGTAGAGCTTACATGTATATAATGACAAATTATTCAACTTGGGCATGCCTGAGCATTTAATTTGCTTCTGTACCAATGCCTGTGTTGTAATCACTTCTCTTGTGTGGGTAGCTCTAGCAGGCACATGGATTGAATGATCGTAAATGATTTGCAGGGGATCAACATGAGTGCTAATACCTTGTGCTCTTCAGGAACTTGTGGGCCTCATGCACATGCGGCTGCAGGGTAGAGATGCAGATGCTACGAAGATGGTTGCAAACATGCAGGCTTCTGATTGGTGCCAGGTGCTGAGGTTGGACTTGACCCAGCTCGAGTCTATGTGCTTCAAAGATCTGTTGAGCAAATGCCGGCAACTTTTTCTTTCCATCCCTGCAGGCAATCGTACCCAGCCATTGCAAGATTTTATAGATACTAGAATCTCGTGGGTGTCTCCAGGCTACAATCCCGCTGTCCTCGTTAAGACTCCCGAACAGAGGCAAATGGTATTGGACTTTGCCAAGTGCATTCTCTCCAGCGAGTCTGGTGGGCAAAGAAACCCAGGACAAAACCAGACCAGCCCTCAATCCATGAAATTAGCCAAGCTGGTTGCCAATGGTGCCCTGTCAGGGCAAGGTGTCCTTGAATTCCTGCTGTCAGCAGCGGTTGAGAAGGCCGACAAAGAACGCAGAGGTTGCAAACGAGTGAATGCGACTGCGACCATGCAAGGCAATCAGGACACCTTGGCCCAAGTGGCATGGTCATTGGGCCAGGCTGTCAACCAAGGAGCTGTCCGGGAGATCTTCGGCCTCAACCTCAAAGCCGTCAAGACAGATCTCAGGAGCGAGATCGTCCCAACTCCGTACTGTGCAGAGCAGGAGGTGCTCGTCAAAAATTTCAAGCTGGCTATTGGGCACCTCAACGCCGTGAATCAGCAAACCTACATGATTGCTGTGGATGAGACGGTGTACAGCAAGACATTTGAAGCAGCTCGGTCTTCAGTAGTTTTCGTCGTTTGATGGATTGGCTCCGCGATACACCGATGTGGTTGAAGTTATCCACTGTTGGGCTGACGCCGGTGACCCTAACTCCGTGGGTCTTGTTTGTTATTTTGCTTTGTCTTGTTTGTTGGTTTGTTGGTCTGCTATGGTCTGTTGATTTCATGGCCTGTTGATCTTCTTGTTGTTGGTTTGTTGGTTCATTGGTTGGTTGGCTGGTGGTGTGTCGGCTGTAATTTCTACATTTTGCTTGCTCCATATGTTTGCCCGTTGTTCGCGGCTGGCATCAATTTATTCCCGATATGTGTGGATCCACTTGGGCAATGCTGATTCTCGAACTGCCCGTATATGCCGCCTGAGGTGCTTTATGGCCTTGGGGAGCCGTGGCTTGTCGGTGGGGCCCATCCAGATTTCTCCTGGCTGCCACTGGCAGAGCACAGAGTCCCACCATCTGCTGACAACTTGGCCGATCTGTGCTTCAGTGCATGTGTCAAAAACCTTGTCAGCAGAGGCCCTTGCTGGGATTGCCAAATGTTGCCCAGAAAGTACAAGCAGACCAATGCCACCAGTCATTTTCAGCACATTGGAGATTTGCTTGATGCTTGCCGGAAGGCCAACCATGGACACGGACCACTGGTCCTGGCGCATGATGCGCACATGAATCACTTGAAGGTCACAGCCTTCTGCATGGGCGTTGCTGCGACCCAGCTGGCCGCCGATGCTGCATCGCATCCATTCTGGCAACTATGCTCTTTTCATTCACGGACATCCATGCCTTTCTGGCCCTTTCGGCAGTTGACCTACGGCAAGCACTTGCTGTTTGTGACAGTGGATGCAGGCCATGTGCAAAAGGCAATTGCCCGTGCAGGCAGAACTCATATCCGGAAGATTCAGCTAGGATCTTTCTGGGCACCTCGTCCTAGCAGATTGCAAGGGTTTTCCAATGTTTCCCTTTGCCAAATTTTGGCATTTTTCATGATCAGTAGATGCTGGACATATCTGGACATTTTACCAACCTCCAGGTATATTCAGGTAATCCCATTGGCTTCCTCTGTATTTCCATGTTTTGGCTTATCAGGTTGATTTTGCACCTCTCTATTTGGGTGGTATGCCGCAGTCATCTTTTACGGGGCGAGACTGGTAGTCAGACGTGGAAGCCGCCAGAGTTTTCAATCCAGGCTATCTAGGCAATCTGCAGTGCCCATCTTGGGATAGCATCGGGATTCATTTGTATCTGCTTGGTGCTTTGGAACATTTTTTATCTTTCCATATATTGGGAATAGAAATCCGCACTGATTTTTTTCCAGCGTTTGAAACATGTTGAATCCACCAACCAGGTATCAACTCCTCACTGCCTGTGTCACTGGTGGGTCATTGAGCTCCAGATTGTGGAACAATGCATCCCCGACGCTCTTGTGGAACAGCTTCTTCGCATACTACTGGATTCTTTTGTGCGTCAGCGAGGCCGAGGCGAATGCGTCCAAGCATTGGGACCGTATGTTTGTGTCATCGCAGACTACTCACAACATGCTCCAGATGTGTGCTCAAACATGCATGCGATGCATGCATTGGCCAGAAGGCGTGCCATTCATTCCTCGAGCTCATCAGGAGGAATGTGCAGAGCTCCACTTTGCCAGGGTGAAGTCGCCCTTTGCCGGAGTCCCATGTGTGCGGGATGCCGTGCTGAGCACGCATCAATCACATTTGAAGATGGCCACGGCAGCTGCATCCAAGTGTGACAGCAACACGGCCAAGCACCCTGTCATCACACCAGTGTCGCCCAGCCAGGCAGCCGAGATCGCGACAGATGCCTTGAATGCAGCATGCACACTTCAATCTGCATTGTTGGTAGGTCGTCCTGCGGCAACTCTCCAGACAGAGTTGCGTACTTGGTGGGAAAAGGTTGGCCGCACCTTTGTGACTTCAAATGATGTTCTTCCTGACGCAGTCGAAACGGATGATTTCTCTGAGTGGCATCCTGAAGAGGACGGAGATGTGAATTCTGGCACCACTGCAGAGGTGGTAAGGACGTTGTCATCATTGGAGAACATGGTGTCAAGCAAACAGATGGAGCAGCCCCCCTTGGAACAGGTGGTGGCACTCGATGATATTGAGGAGGAGGATCAGCAAGCCCTTCCGAAGCATGCGCCTCTCACTGTGAAGCCCCTTCTGAAGGAGGCTGGCCTGTGGAACTTCCAGACACCTCCCAAAGACAGCTTGGATTTGTGCATCCGTCGCATCATGAAACTGTTGCCCTTCATTCAGCTGTTTGTAGCGGAAGTTCGACCCTAGATTTCCACTTCAACCATCAGTTTTGAATGAATGAGTTGCGCTTGTGCAGTTGGGTTTGTCGTTCGTTATGGTGTTTTTCTCGTCTTGTGTGCCCCCAATTGTATCCACATCATGGCACGTACCACCCCAGTCGAATTTCCCAGGAAAGGCAGAAGGTTGGATTAGCCCCGCACAGATCGACAAGCCAAACCATCACTTGAACGAGCACAATCAGATGGTGTCAGAGTTGGCAAGAGCGCGGCAGTGCTTGGTGCTCAGCCGGCAGCGCGTGTCCCGCTTTTCGATGTGGGCAGGGTTTTCAGAGAAGGCGGTGGGTAGAGCATGTGCAGAGGTGGTGGCCGATGATGGGTTGGAATGCAAAGTGTTGCAGGCAATCACTTCCTTCCGGCCGAGCTGCTTGAGAGTGGCAACGGATGATGGACAGTCCCGGCGGCAATACCAGCTAGCTGCTTGGAACTTCAAGTTGACATATTTTTCACAATAGGATTACCACCAGCTTTGTTTTCGCAAGCTCTTGGACCAGCTCTGAGCGGGCCCATGTCCCAAAATACCAGTTTGCACTCGTGACACTGCATGCAATGGCAGGTTGTGATTCGACGGAGCCTGTTGCATCAACCCATGATTGCGATCATTCAAGCAGCCTACCGTGGCACAGTTCAGAAGAGCGAAAAGGGAACCAAGAAGGTGGGGTCGCCGAAAATGGTTTGCTGCGAGCTTCCGGCAAACTGCTGCGTCTGGCTCCATGCTGTCATCTTGGACCGCCGTTCTGAGACCCGCTTCATCGCCACTTCTTCAAGTCCTCTGACCGGATTAGATCCACACACGGATGCTCTTCTATGCGAGGTTCCAGCTTCTCAGTTTTCTGTGGTCGAGCGACCAGGTGTGCCTGGGCCTGCTGCCTGGGTAATTTTTTTTCCGCCAGCCCAGGCTAAAGAAATTATAGTCGATTCAGTAAGTTCTGCTGTCTCAGCCAAAGACTTTCGTTTAAACTGTTTGGCGGGTTTCTTGCGAGGTCAGCTACCATGCTTACATTTGTCACGCTCTCCTGGTATTCACCCATTCTGGAGAACATGGGCAAATATGTATAGCATGTCAAAATCCATATATAAATTGCAAACAGCAAAAAAAAATAGACGGTTCGGTTGGAAATTTACGCCGCTTGGTTACGGATTTATTTCGTTTCAGTGAGTCGCTTTTTTGGAAGAAGTTTTCAAGCTGGACATATGAGTTATGTTTTCTTCATGTGGAGAAGGTTTGCGCCGCACCTGTGGAATTGAAAGAATCCCATTCCACTCAAAACATCACAATTTGCTGGAACACGCTGGAACCATGCTTAAATCCAAAAACTTCCGTCTCATCGAAAAAACTCCGCTTAAGGATGTTTGAGGGTTGGCCCCTCCAAATGTTAATTTTTCACCAAACATCAATTATGATTGCTGCCTCATGCTGCCTCGGTTGTTCTAGGTATGCGTTGTGGATGTGCAGCTCTCCTCACTGCGGGCTGTGGAAAAGCTGCGTGATGCGAAGCCACAGATGCCTTCAACAGATTCTTGCCAGACAGCCTGTGAGTATACCTAAGAGATCCTCAAAGGCTAAATAAATATATGTTGATATGTTTCAAAGATTGTGCGAAGCCAAGATCGGGGCCATCCAAACCAAATCATATCAAATCTACCTAAGAGGGAATGGAACAGCTACATGGCCTTCATTTGCCTTGACCCATCTTGACCCTGTGCAGTCTACATTATCCTTCCATGGCTGCTGAGGCCAAGGAGCACCCATCTGCAGCCAAAGCAATGTACTATACAGACGACACATTCCAGAACCCGAAGACGCGTGCCAAAGCCATCCGAGATTATTTGGATGTCCTGCGGGAACATTATGAAAAGGAACATGGCCAGCTAGTGCGAGATGGAGTGATTTGTGCTGCGCCCTGTGCAAAAAATTTAGAGTGGGAGCGAGTGGTGGCACAAGCTCCTCGTTTTTTTGAACTGCGGCATCAAGCCATGAAAGGTGAGAGCCGGTCATCATTTGGAACCTTCGTTCTGCAGCAACTGCACAGATGCCTTGTGAAAAGCAAAGGCTTTCCAGCGTTGCTTTCAGAAATTTCCTCATCCGGTGTGCTTGTGCTCCCTGGCCGGTGAGCAAATCCATAGCACTCCGCAAGGTTGACTATGTTCGAATTGTCCAAATGCACAACATCTCTTGAGAAGATACAGGTGTAAAATGTATACAACATGTCCATGCTGTTTCTCCATGGAGCAAGGCGCCGGCTGAGAAAAGCGTTTTGGAAAGAGCCTTTGGAGCGAGACTCACATGATTGTTGTGAGATGTAGTTGGGCCCACAAGTTTTTTTTTGCCACCCTCAAGGTGACAAGGTGAGGAAGGCACATTGGTATGTTTCGAGTTTGCCTTTGTGCAGCCAGATTTATGGATTATTCATGGATATTCATGGTGAAAATCATTTTCCTATTGTGATACACTGTAGTGTCTTCCCATGCGATGGCTGTTCGGTGGTTCCTGTCCTTGTGCCGGTAGAGACATTCCAGCGCGGCGGCAAGCGAAAAACAAACTTCGTAGGGCGCGTCATGATAGAAATTCAGCTGTATTCTGATATATTCTGATGCATTGTGTGAGTTGAACACTGAGATCCTTTTTCTGACGAGACTTGGCATTAATGGAAAAATCATCTGCATATGAACGAGGGTATGTATCTGGTAAATGAGAAT